AATCAATGCATAGGATAGCAGTCTCCAGAAAAACAAACAAGACAGGATCTAACTGATTATGTGATTGATTTGAAAGTTCAGAAAATAATCTTAGTTAGGCATTTTGTGTTCTTTCAGAGCAATTGGGAGAACAGTTAGAAAAGCAAGGGAAGAGGAAAACAAGAGGTAATTAGATGATCCAGAAAAAAATCCAAATGTTACAGGAGATGAAATGTGATAGTAATATACAATTTCTGGCTGTGCTAAATAAGGTTTACAGTTGTAAGGGCCTATTTAGCCAGAGTGACTCCATCTTGGTTAAAAGTCATTTTATTGTTTGTACAGTAAAACTTAAACCAACCCTGCCCCCCCCCCCCCGCGAGAAACTTACTTAGAAGCAAGTCTGGGAAGCCAGTAAAATATGGTCAGCCAGTTCCTGATAACAGAGCCCAGAATACAAGGACAAGTCAGGCCAGGTGGAGACATCCAATGAGTAAGAAGCACACATACTCTTTCCCTAACCACCAAAGAATGTAAACCCTGCCGTTCGGGCGCCAAACTTGAGCACCAATTCTGACCAGAGTAATAGGTTAGGTCAAACAGCTACTACAGGGTAAACTGTAATTCAATTGGCCACCTGCACGTGGCCTAACAGGACTATACAATGTTACAATCTCATTGGCTACCTATATGTGGCCCAGTTTTTGCTCTATAAAAATTAGCCTGTGAGGCTGGGAGGGTCGTTCTCTTTGGGAGCGGCCCTGGCCATTCAGTCTGATTCCTAATGCTTGACATAGTTTAAAGCTTTGCATAACTTTAACTTTGTTTACTTCTAATGCTTGGCATAGAATAAAGCTTTAAATAACTTTCATTTTGTCTCAGTCTCGTTTCATTTAATAGTGGACCCTAACACAGTGTTACAGAATTATTAACACTAACTACCAACTTAATCAAAATTTTCCTGTAACTATATTGGGAAGAGGATAGCAGGAACATGGGTAGAGAAGAGTTAAATCTTCATCTACAATTACAGAAAGTCTGTATTTTATATTACTGGGGATGGGACTAGTAGCAGGTTGTTTTTTGTTATAAGCCCAAGAGTAGCCTTATAAAAATAGTAAAAGCTGCTTCTAAATGCCATTTAAAAAACCTGTAAAACAAAGCTATTACTTCAATCACAATAAAAGTAATTTTAAGATAATTGTTGAAGAAATGAACAGATTCAAAAAGAGGTGGTGTGGAATCCAGATCATGGGATGGAATGGCTGGGACAGACTCTGTAGTGGCTCAGTTGGAAGAAGATATGACTCAAGATCTCTAAGGTTGTAAAAAAAAAAAAAAAATCTCTAAGGTTGTGAGTTCGAGCCCCGTGTTGGGTGTAGAGATTACTGGGGAGGGGGGAACACTTAAGACAGACCCTGAAATTCGGACAGTCCTCTTGAATAAGGTAGAGGAAGCGCAGCCCAGCAAGAAATGGAGAAAAATCTCTTCTGATGGCTGCCCCTCTGTGTGTCTGACATCCTGAATTTCCACTGGGTGGTTCATCCTTCCTCTAAGAGTAGAGAGCAAATAAATAGGAAAATATCCAAGTTTCTCATATGAAGAAGGAAGAGGGGTAGGGTTAAAGAAGAAATAAAGATGGTACATAAGAATGGTATACCTAACAGTAGTCAAAGAAAATGTAAACAAGAAAAAAAATACTCTTGCTTCTTGTTCACTCATAAAATTGAGAATTCCAATGAAATTGGCAATATGGAAGAAAACACAGGAAGAAGCAAAATTAAACAGACCAAAAAAAATGGAACAAAGAAGAATACCTCGGAGGCCTTGGATCTAGACGGTTTTACATTTTAGAGAAGACGATTTCCATTTCATAGATTTTTTTTTAAAGGAAAGAACAAAAGATGTATAATGATCCAGCTTATTATGCAAAGGGAATCTATGATACCTACAGGTGAGTGAGAGGAACAATTATCCCAATAAATGAAGCCAGATAACCAAACAGAATCTAAGGTACAGTAAGAGAATGACCAATATAATCACGTTGGACTTATCCCAGGGAGTCACAGTAGGTCCACTGTGATAGATCCTATATGGGGTTCTCTATGGGGGGAGAAAGATCATTTTAATTTAAGTCTTGGTGAAGCCTCGCACAGTTCCCTACTTTAGGTATAAATGACCATGTGTCCATACACACATGCTTAACAAGACTAGGATGACGGTTCCTTCCACGTCAAACTGTCTAAATCAAAGCAACGTTCCAGCACGGGAGACACCTCCACACCACCTGGGCAGAATCACAGGGCTCCGCTAGCACCTGTGCGCCACACGGTTCAAGGCGTGTTAGCCAAGGCAGCTGAACTTGAAGCTCCAGGAGACGTAGATATCTTGAACTTTTCCAACAGTGTGGAACAAGGAACAAATAAAAATAAGGTAAGAATTCAGAAAATGGTTCAGCAAGGGGGACTGATAGAGGAACAACAAGCAGAAGGTTTCCTATCCATGGCTAATACAAAATCAAGAAATGGGGGCGCCTTTGTGGCTCAGCTGGTTAAGCGACTGCCTTTGGCTCAGGTCATGATCCTGGAGTCCCAGGATGGAGTCCCCACTGGGCTCCCTGCTAGGCAGGGAGTCTGCTTCCCCTTCCACCCTCCCTCCTCTCATGCTCGCGCTCTCTCTCTCTCATTCTCTCTCAAATACATAAATAAATCTTAAAAAAAAAAAAAAAAAGTGGGGTGGAGGACGGGAGGTGGGGATCCCTACTCACGGAGCAACGAAGGTGAGTCCGTGGAAGTAATTCCAATAAGCTGCGTGAGAAAATGATGACAACTCCAAGCGTTTCCTGAAAATTAGAAACCACGAACCTGAGAAGCAGGTGTTCCACGACGGCGGGGCTCCGAAATGAGACAGGCAGCGTCAAGGTCAGGAAAGGACCTAGGGACGGCAGAAGGGCGCTCAGGAGGTCCTGTTTGGAGGCCGTCTCGGAAGGGGGTCTCTCCCCTGCTGCTCCGGCCCGCGCTGCTGCCTGGGATCCGCGGGGGAATCCAAGCCGACCGCTCTCTTACCAGGACCGCCGCCGAACCGAACCCAGCCAGCCAACTGCTCTCCAAGTCCGAGGCAGCTCCCTGGGGCGATCCCAGCAAGCGCGCGCGCGTAGCAAGCGCGCGCGCGTAGAAACCCCGCAGCACTGACTAGGGATTGCAGTACCTTTGCGCTCTGCGCGCATGGACGCGCTCCGGTTCCGCAGAAGTAGCCGGCGCGGGGCGGAGCTAGTCGGGCCCAAACCCCTCCGGCTGGGGAGCCGAGCCCGGGAAGTGCATGAAACCCAGGCATTCGGAACAGTTCTCGAGGCTGAGATGGAAAGCACAGGAGACGCGCAGACCCCCAAACCTCAAAGTGCAGGTTCACTGTTTCCAGGGTCTGTTCTCAGAAGGACACGGCTGCTCTGGCCCCCGTTTGTCTGTGGGTGTGGTGTGTGGTCTGCGCGTGTGTAAAACAAACCCACAACGTATGTTGAGAAAAAGTAAAATTTGTTCACCAGCCAGTCAGTCCTCGCTTTTCTAGACCTAGGGTTCTCAGAGTGCTATTTGCAATTCGTACTCAGCTTGTCGATATCTACAAAGGAAGGGGTGGGGGGAGCCTGCGGGGATTTTGATTGGAATTGCATTGGATCTCTGGATCAAATTAGGAATAACTGACCTCCTAAGAATATTGAGGCTTCTGAGCAGTGAAAACGGTGTATCTTTTTATTGAAGTTTTATCTATTTGTGTTCATCAGAATTTTATAGTTTTCAGCATACAAATCCTGCCCCTATTTTATTAAACGTATACCTAAATACTGAATTTTGTTACTATTTTAAATCGTGTTTTTATTATTCATATTAAAATTGGTGTATAACATGGTCTGCAAACCTTGGGCCAAACCTGATCTCCCACCTGTTGTTGTTATTTTAAAATAAAATAATATAACAAAAAACTAAAAAAACAAAATAAACATGATGACCTCAAACTTTTTTTTTTTTTTTTGGTTGCTGTTTCTCATGATATCTTTCCAATTATTTACTTTTATCCCAAAGTTTTTCAACCTCAACACTGCTGAAATTTTGAGATAATTCTTTGTAGCAGGATTGTTCTGTCCAGGGTAAGTTGTTCAGCAGTGTCCCTGGCCTCTCTACGCACCAGCACCTCCTAGTTCTGAAAACCAAAATGCCTCCAAACATTGCCAGCTGTATGCTGGTAAGCAAAATTACCCTTCTCCTCCTTTATAACTACTGTTTTAACCTACCCATGTCTTTCTATTTAAAGTAAGTTTCTTGGGGGCACCTGAGTGGCTCAGTGGGTTAAGCCTCTACCTTCAGCGCAGGTCATGATCTCAGGGTCCTGGGATCGACCCCCCCCCCCCCCCCCCCTGCTCCCCCGGGGGCCCTCCTCCCCCCCCCCCCCCCCCCCCCCGCCTACTTGTGATCTCTCTCTCTCTCTGTCAAATGAATTTAAAAAATAAATAAATAAAGTTGGTTTCTTGCCGACCACCTACAGTTGGGTCTTTCTTTTTTTCTTTTATCCAATCTGACTATCTCTTGTCTTTACCCGGTAACATTTAGGCCATTAATATTAATGGTGTTCATTGGCATGGTTGGATTAAAATCTATGCGCTTGCTAAGTGTTTTTTATTTGTTTTCTCTTCTCCTCTTCTCTTGCCTTTATGGATTTAGTTTTATTATTTCTTTTCACCTCCTCAACTGACTTATTATTGATTCCTTTTTAAAATACTTCATTTGTAGTGTAAGTACCTTTAAGTGCTTATTCCCAATTCCTCACTTCCATTTCTTTGTCATTGGGTCACACACCTCACTTTAAAATACGCTACACATACAGAAGACATTGTTACAATTTTTGCTTTAAGCAGGTAGCTTTTAGAGTGATAAAAATCAGAAAAATATTTTACTTTGTCTTCATTTCTTCTATTTCTAATGTGTGTCATTTCTTTGCGTAGATCTAAATTTCCAACCTATTTTTTTAACTTTAAACAAAATTCACATTTTATTTAAGTTGAAATAAACTATACAAAATTGATCTTCTTCACCAAAAATAACAGCAATATTTTCTGTATTATTCCTAGATAAACCACAAAACACTTATTTTTGTAGGTTTTCCAGGTTTTGTTTATAAATCAAGACGAGGCAGTAGATATAGTCATGGAAAAAGACAGAGGAAAACAGACAAATCAGTTGTCAGTATCCATGGCCTCTGATCCTGCCTTGACCATGAACAGAGGTGTTCAACATATACCTGCTAAAAAGCTTATAAAGTCGTTGGTGTTTCAACATACACGTGCTAAAGAGCTTATGAAGATGTAGGCTCAACAAAGGAATGTAAACAGCAACAACCCAATGTGGAACAATGGCAGGCTCTCCCATTCAAACTTTAACTGTAACTTGTTCTGTTAAGTTCATTTGATAAAGAAAAAATCTCTACTGCACTCCTTGCTTGGCAAGCTCACGTGTTTCTGTCTGGTAACTCCCTGAACTGTCCATTACAAATTTTTAACATACTAACACTCCCACTACTCAAGGGTCACTCATGAGCTTCTTGTAACATTTTCTAAAATGTATCCCTTCCCCCCATACCTCTTCAAAATCTTTATCTTCTAAGAAGTGATAACTCAATACCTGACAATTGGATCCAGTGATAATAAATGTTATGTCTAAAATGACTTAACTAAAACAATTCCCAAGTGCCACTAGCAGAAATCCCATAGAAGTGTAATGTGGCACTTTCAATGCTATCTTCTGGAAGAACAGGTATGTCTCCAAAGCATGAGAGTTTAAACAGGGGCCATTTAAATAGGCAGATTATCAATGGCTAATATGCTCAATGAGAGGTCAATATGTCAAGATATTCAGTGATTAAGTGGCCTACATACACCTGACAGCTTTTCTGTAAGATGTTTTCAAATTTCTTACAGATTTTTCCAATATCAAATATAAGAGAAAGCCTACTTTAAACGTTTCTTAGGTATTTTCAATGGTTTCTGAGTTATCTGTAGGAAGCTCTGACTTAGTTGTATAGAGTTTGATATATGTGTCCACCATTAAATCGAGATCATGTTTTATGTCAAAATTTATGTTAAGCAAAGCCAAGTTACTTGACCTTTGGTCTGTCAAAGTGTTCCTCAGGTATGCTTTGAGATGCTTTCGCCCATTTTCATAGCGTTCATTCTCAACCTTCATCACAGGAAGAATACACAGGACTTTCAGCAATGCATAAACATTAGGAAAAAACTTGATGTCTGGTAGATGGAGGGCTTCATAAATGGTAGATGGAAGTTCTATATCTTTCCCTCTGTGTTTCCATTTGATTCTCCAGCAATGCAGCTCAGCTGAGAGTGTGTCAGGATTGGGCAAGTCACTTCTGTACATGTCAGCATGGTGCTCCTCTGATGTATTAAATTTGAGCTGTCCCATGACAGAGGGTACAAGAGATAAGCGTTTAAGAGCTTTGAGGTGCTGTTCTGAGAATATATCTTTCAGTTCCTGAATAATGTGTTCCACTGTTGGAACACTTAGAGTTTCTTTATAGTAACTCTCAGAGGTGAGCTGAGATTCCAGGTTACCGTGCTGGGCTCTGCGGAATTTCCCAGGGAGTTTCATCTGAATATCAAGTTTAGTTGCCAAATTTGTGGCTTCTTCGGACCAAAATTCATGATAAACTTCAATATTTTCCATCACTTCATTTAGTGAATGCAGCACTGCAGTCAAGCTACTGGCTGCAAAGAAGACGTCAGAGGTCTGCCCTTGGAGATTTTTCCCAAAGGCTCTTGTAAAAGATAGAACATTTTTAAGAACAACAATGGTAACGATGAAATCAAAATCTGTTACTGCACTGCAGAGTACAAAAGCTGGACCAGCTATATAGTTATTCCACCTAATATTTGTATCACTATTTATACCATCTAAACATAAAACAAGTGCTTCTAGGAGGTCCACTAAAATTTCAAAAGCATCATGCCTGATTTTTTTTTGTTTGTTTCTTTTAAAGATTTTATTTGTCAGAGAGAGACAGAGAGAGCACGCACGTGTGAGTACCAGCAGGGGGAGGCGCAAAGGGATAATCAGGCTCCAGGAGCAAGGAACCAGATGCTGAACTGGATCCTGAAGCTCTTGATCCCAGGATCCTGGGATCATGACCTGAGCGGAAGGCAGACACTTAATGGACTGAGTCTCCCAGGTGTCCCTGTTTATTTTTGTATTTGCCTGAATCACTTACTTTCACGTTTCCTGTAGAGTAGGTCTGCTGGCAGTGAATTTCCTCAGTTATTGCTAGTTGTGAAATTATTTCTCCTTCACTTTTGAGGGATATTTTCACTAAGTAAAAATTCTGGATTGACAGCTTTGTTTTTCAGCACTGTAGAGATGATACTACCATCTTCTCGCTTGTACGTATTCTGATGAGAAGCTGCTGTACTTCATAGCCTCGTCCATCTGTAGCTAATGGGTCTTTTTTCCCCTCTGGCTGCCTTCAAAGGTTTTGTTTTTTGTTTTTAGCAGTTTGAATATGATGAGTAAATGTGATTTTTGGTGGTGGGAGAGCTTTCTATCCTTCTCGGAATTTGTTTTCATCAAAATTTATTAACAAAGATGTCAAAAGTCCAGAAATAAAAGAAGACCAATAATCAAAGAGTACTTGGTAAAAGTTTATTGGTACACACCGAAGATGTTTTGCAAACTGGGAGCACTCAAAGGAAACTATGGAATGTGGCTCAGGGATATGTTGTAATAAAGCAGCTTAGATAGTGAGAAAGCAGTGACTGGTTATTCTTCACAGTGATTGGTTATAATAGAATTTTCTTAGGTGATAGGGAATTGATCAGTGATTGGTTTTGCTTATGATTTCCAGAGGTATTAGCAAGAAACAACCCATGTCAAGTTAGACTTGCAAAATAGGCTAAATTAAGCTTTGTTTGTGTGACTAAACTGGTTTTGCTGGCTCAGGAAATTTCCCAGGTTGGTCTCTTTGTTTTTTATTTTAACAAGGGTATGGTAAGGCCAAATACAAATCGGAAGGAGAAAATGACCATGAAATTATAAAATTATTGTATTCTAGTTTCTTGGGAAGAACATGGCACTCCACAGACCTGCTCAGGGGATGCTCTGGGGTCAGTCATAAGACAGAGGGAGAGGGAGGAAATGTGGACTAGTGTCTTTTTTGTGGTTTCTTCCAGAAGGAAGAGGGAAGAAGGAGGATCCAGGATTGGCTAGCTGTATTTAAAAGTGGCACCCTGGGGCACCTGGGTGGCTTAGTGGGTTAAGCCTCTGCCTTCGGCTCAGGTCATGATCTCAGGGTTCTGGGATCAAGCCCCACACCAGGCTTCTGCTCAGCAGGGAGCCTGCTTCCCCCTCTCTCTCTGCCTACTTGTGATCTCTCCCTGTCAAATAAATAAATAAAAATCTTTAAATAAGAAATAAAAAAATAATTTTAAAAGTGGCACCCTTGTGACCTCATGCTGTGCTAGGAATGTAGGGATGTTAAATGGTTATCTTCCCTCCCTAGTAGTTTACCTAAAGTAATTGACATCCATCTTGATGATATTAATGCATCAAATTACAGAAATGATAAAACACGATTGATACAAAGTTCATCAAGCTTGTGGGATTGGTGGTTTTGTGTCTGTCACTAATATGGAAAAAAATCTCAGCCATTATTTCTTCAAATATTATCTCTGTCCCATTTTCTCTTTCTTCTTTTTCTGGGATTCCAATTATGCATATGTTAAACTGTTCCATATTGGTCCACAGCCCACTTTTTAAGGCTTGTTGTGATGAACACCCAGTGAGGTTAATGGAAGAAAATGTCTCCAAGAGGGTGTGTACTTTTCCTTTTTTTTTTTTTTTTTAATGGTTTCCAGGGGATTCATATAATGCTGTTAGTGTATACTCACTCTTCACCAATTTGTCTACTATCCTAACCAACCTCTTCTTTCTCCTGTCCTATCCCAGGCACTGGCTCTCAGATTTCAGGCTAGTGGGTTACTCTATGACCTCAGCTTCCAATAGGTTCAAACAAAGTAAAAAAACCCCGATGTTACAGCAGCTCTTTTTTATAGCAAGAATGAGAGCTACCCTTCTTCCAGCTCTCCACAGTCAGGTGGAAGTCAGAATTCTGACCACTGATTTTTTTTTTTAAGATTTTATTTATTTATTTGCCAGACAGAGATCACAAGTAGGCAGAGAGGCAGGCAGAGAGAGTGGGGGAGGGGGGAAGCAGGCTCCCTGCTGAGCAGAGAGCCCGATGAGGGGCTCGATCCCAGGACCCTGAGATCATGACCTGAGCCGAAGGCAGAGGCTTAACTCACTGAGCCCCCCAGGTGCCCTGCCCACTGATTTTTTTAAAGTTATTATTTACTAACTGTTCTGTGCTATGTTGTGTCCTGCAAAATTCCTAAACTGGAGTCCTCACTATGGTACCTCAGAATGTGGCTTTATTTGGAGACAGGGTATTTTCAAAAGTAATGAAGTCAAAATAAGGAACTTAGGTGGGCCCTCAGCCAATAGGACCGGTGCTCTTATAAAAAAGTGGAAGTTTGGAGACAGACACATACATTGGGAGAATGCCACATGAAGACAAAGGCAGAAATGGGGTGATGCTTCTGTAAGCCAATATTGCCAACGAACCACCAGAAGCTGGGCAAGAGGCATGGCACAGATTCTGTCTTACAGCTCTGAGAAGGAACAAACCAGCAATCTTGGACTTCTGGCCTCTGAAACTGTGAGACAGCACATTTCTGATCGTTCACAATCATCCTAAGTCCACGGTTTACCTCAGGGTTTACTCTTGGTGTTGCCCATTCTGTGAGTTTAGACAAAGGTATAAAGACCTATAGAGTAGTTTCACTGCCCGAGGAGTCCTCTGTCTTCTGCCTACTCATCCCTCCCTCCCCTGACAACCACTGATTTTTTTACTGTCTCCATAGTTTTGCCTTTAGCAGAAAGCCACATAGTTGGAGTCATACAGCCTTTTCAGACTGGCTTCTTTCACTTAGTAATGGGCACTTAGGTTTCCTCTATGTCTTCTCTTGACTTACAGGTCATTTCCATTTAGCACCAAGTAATACTCCATTGTTTGGATGGACCACAGTTTACTTATCCACTCACCTCCTGAAGAACATCTTAATTGGCAATTATGAGTGAAGCTGCTGTAAACATCCCTGCGCAGGGTTTTCTGTGGACATAAGGTTTTCTTTTCTTTCTTTCTTTTCTTTTTTTTTTTTTGAATGTTTTAGATAATGTCTATTTATTTATTTAAACATTATTTAGATAATGATTATTTGAAAATAAACATTTTCAAAACCACCTAAAGGAGTTTTCAACTCCTTTCGGTAAATACCAAGGAGCGCGATCCTATGACAAGACTGTTTAGTTCCTTAAGAAACTGCTGGTCTTCTAAAGTGGCTGTGCCATTTTTTATTCTCACCAGCAGTGAATAAGATCTCCTATGACTCCACATCTTCCCCAGGATTTGGTGTTGGTGGTCTGGATTTCAGCCACTCTAATAAGGAGTGGAGTCATTGTTTTAATTTGTGTTCCCTCAACATCTGGTTGAAGCAATTCCTGTTTGTAAGCCCCTTCATTTGTGCCACTTGGCAGTAACAAAAGTTCTAGCAAAAATGGACACTTAGTAGAGGAATGTAGCTCAGATATCCAGGTTTATGACTTGGGGATATTTTTCTCTTTGACTGATAGAATCAATAGTTGATTTCTAAGAATTTTGGTCAACAAGTAGTTGGACATGGTTGCATTTTTTTTTAAAGATTTTATTTATTTATTTGACAGAGAGAGATCACAAGTAGACAGAGAGGCAGGCAGAGAGAGAGAGAGAGGGAAGCAGGCTCCCTGCCGAGCAGAGAGCCCGATGCGGGACTCGATCCCAAGACCCTGAGATCACGACCCGAGCCGAAGGCAGCGGCTTAACCCACTGAGCCACCCAGGCGCCCCCATGGTTGCATTTTTAAATGCACTGCATTTGCCCTCAGGAACATGAGCTTCTTGAATACGTTGAGCATGCCCTAACTAGATCCCATGCAACTTCCCAGTGGGTGATTCATGGTTGCCCTGCAAGGGCAGAGACCTTCAGCAAGTCAGCTTACATTCCCAAACCTCAGTTTCTGCATCCGACAAAGGGAGCCTGCTTCCCCCTCTCTCTCTCTGCCTGCCTCTCTGCCTACTTGTGATCTGTCAAATAAATAAATAAAAATCTTTTTTTAAAGATTATTTATTTATTTCACAGACAGAGATCACAAATCAGACAGAGATCACAAGTAGGCAGAGAGGCAGGCAGAGAGAGAGAGGGGGAAGCAGGCTCCCTGCCGAGCAGAGAGCCCGATTCGGGGCTTGATCCCAGGACCCTGGGATCATGACCTGAGTTGAAGGCAGAGGCTTTAGCCCCCTGAGCCACTCAGGCACCCCATAAATAAAAATCTTTAAAAAAAAACTACAGGTTTAATGAATAAGCAATTAAAGTTTAGATTGACTTTTTAACTGCCTCCCCCTTTCTTATTCCCATGAAGAAAAAGGATAATAAGTGCAAGTCTTGGCTGACCAGAACTTTCACATTCTAAGGAAGGATTTGGCCCTGTGCTCTGCTCCTGGGAAGTAACCTCTAAGCCCTTGGTTGGAGGTTCTCTCCTATCCTTGTTTACTTGGAGAACTTGGGTCACACCAGACAGTGATGGGGCTTGAGCCAGGCGGTATGGCCTTGACCTCCGCAGTGGCTGGAGACTGAAGGTCAGGTGCATGTTTGGTAAGTTATGCCTATATAACTGACCTCCAACTACAGACACTGGATTCTAAAGTTCGGTGAGCTTGCCTGGGTGGTAATGCTTGTTGTCCACACACTGG